GTAATTAGAGGACATTTTATTCAAAAGAGCGCGCACTTGAAAAAACAAAGGGAAGCGCGTATGACCACATTACTGTCAGACATACAACAACTAGACACCCTCAACAAGAGACTCCAACTACCCACACACCGAGCTACGCTCCTCTGCTTAAGGAGGGAACTGACTACACTTTTACAGTCTCAACACCATAGAGATGTATTGCGCCATAAGGCATTCTTTGCCGTACATGGCAATAAGAGCGGGAAGCTTCTGGCGCGCATGCTTAACAAAAGAAGACAAGACACATACATTGACCGCATAAGAGATAAAGGGGGGATTCTTCACAGGCACCCCACTAAGATACAGGAGATTATTCGGGCATATTACTCAGAGCTATATTCTCTGCCAAGGCCGCAAACCGAAACCCATGCCCAAAAGCTCCGTAACTCTATTGACGACTATCTTAGGTCTCACACACTCCACACCCTGACAACGGAAGAAGCAGATCAGTTAGAGGAGCACGTCACCCCAGAGGAGTTGGCACTCGCGATTAAAAACACCAAACCAGGGAGAAGTCCGGGCCCGGACGGTTTACCCATTAAATACTATAAGAGGTTTGCGGAAACTTTATACCCCCCACTACTAGAGATGTTCAACGCAATCAGGGAGGGACACGACATCCCCAAACAGACACTAACGGCACATATCACCATACTTCCTAAAGAAGGCAAAGATCGAGAGCACTGCGGGAGCTATCGACCGATATCCCTCATAAATACTGACCTCAAATTATTGGCAAAAGTCCTGGCAACCAGACTTCAGACACACATACCTAGGCTGGTTCACGCAGACCAGGTAGGATTTGTGATGGGTCGGGAGGCCAGAGACAATACCATTCGAGCACTCACACTTATGCACAGGAAGACGAGGGATAACACAGGCCTTCTCCTGCTGTCCACAGACGCGGAGAAGGCCTTTGACAGGGTCTGTTGGGAATACATGTTCCAGACACTGGCTCACATGGGCACACACCTCCAGGGATGGATTAGAGCCCTCTACTCCCAGCCGACGGCACACGTTCTAGTCAATGGAGCACCTACGGAGGCCTTCCCAATCTATAACGGCACACGTCAGGGCTGCCCTCTGTCCCCCCTGCTGTTTGTCCTGGCCCTAGAGCCCTTCCTGCAGAACATTAGATGCCACCCGGACATTCAGGGAATACGCACAGGAGACACACAACACAAAATAGCCGCATATGCGGACGACCTCCTGTTCTTTATAACCCACCCCGAGGTCTCCTTACCCAACCTAGTACAGGCATTCCAGAGGTTCGGAGAGCTATCTGGTCTGAAAATCAACTATTCCAAATCCTATATTCTAAATATAAGCATCCCTACACAGAGGGCTACCCAGCTCCATCAGAGTCATGCCTTCCAATGGGCTACAGATAAAATACGCTACTTAGGCACGTGGCTAACGGTTAAAGCAGCGAACCTATATACATCCAACTTCGCCCCGATACTCCTACAATTTCGGAAAGACATGGGTGACTGGGCCTTCCCACACATCTCCTGGCTGGGTAGAGTGCAAGTGGTGAAGATGAATTTCCTGCCAAGACTACTATATCTTTTCCAAGCTTTGCCCATAGCAATCCCGACTTCCTTTTTCACAACACTCAGGAGGGCAGTGGGGGCTTACGTATGGGATGGGAGGAGACCCAGACTGAAGTTCTCTCTCCTTACAAAACCCCAAAACAAAGGGGGCCTAGCCCTACCAGACTTTTCGCTATATTACAAGGCGTGTCATCTACAACTGAGCAGGGAGAACCCCAGGCCCTTCCTAACACACTTTAGATACGAACAACTCCGCAGCTACATAAGGCTCCTCCCGCAAGGGGCGGCTCTTGGTAGAGACCTCACTGTCTTTGAAAAGATATGCACAGACCCAGATCCATTACCACATGGAGTGGCACATATATACTCCCTCCTTAACTCACAGACCCCGTGGGAAGCGCCAAAATTCATGGGAAAATGGGAGGAGGCTCTCAACCAAACATTCAGCTCACAGGAATGGGAAAAAATATGCACTATCATACACCATTGTTCTGTGTTCAGCAAAAGCCAAGAAACAGCTTACAAACTGCTAACACAGTGGTATCGCACACCTGCCACGATACACCACATACACGCAAACGAGAGCCGCCTTTGTTGGAGATGTGCCAAGGCAACGGGAACACACATACACATATGGTGGGAATGTGAATTAATACAACCCTTCTGGCGCATCATTCACAAAATCTTATCCCGATTCTCAGATAACCCACCACCTAGGGAACCAGCAGCCATGCTGCTCCATCACACGACAACCCCTACCTCTAAATACAAAAAAAAAAAAAAAAAACGCTCACGATTCGGATTCTTAATATAGCAAAACAGACCATTCCACAGTTCTGGAAGAAAAAAGAGACCCCGTCCATACACAAATGGTTCACCCAAATGGAAGAACTACGGGCCATAGAAGAGCTCACCATGAATGCGGCCGGACCGCAACAGCAGACCTACCTTGACATATGGACACACTGGATCCTGACATCTACAAAACAGGACTTCCAAACGCTAATACAAGACAGACCTCTGGACAACACTCATTTGACTGACAAAGAGACAGAAGACTAACCCAATCCCCCCTTCCTCACATATACCTACCCTCCACACCCACGAGGCGCTAGATGTGCGCCCAGTGAAGAGGTACAGGCCCACGAACGAGATAACAGTAGAGTGACTAAATCAATACACCCCAAAACCCAGGAGGTGTAACAAGGACATATAACCCATAGGACGAACTGGCACCAGCAGACTAAGGTCAGCAGCGATAAATAATACCGCAAGGCCCCACAACCTCTAAACACAAAGAACACACAAGGGCACAAGGTATAGAGAGACCCAAACGCAACACCAGTAATAATAGGTAGAAGCTGAATAAGTGGGTAACTGTGCAAAAACAAAAATGACACCCAAGTACAGGGAGGATGAGGGTATAACGAATGGGACCTGCGAGTCCGACAACATCGTGGGCCTGCGTGCCCGGAAGGATATATGTCTTGAAAGTTGATATAGATATGCACTGAAATATGGAGATCTGCGAATCTCGAGTTAATCCATTCCTATAGTAATATAAAAGGAAATAAATAAATATTTACAAAAAAAAAAAAAAAAATTTGTGATATTGCAGAAGGTCTTGATGGTAAGGTAACAGGGTTGATGTTCCAGGAGGGCAAATGATTTAGGTAAACTAGAAAAATGGTCACAGTTGTGGCAACTGACATTTAATGTGGATAAGTGCAAGATAATGCATCTTGGACGTAAAAACCCAAGGGCAGAGTACAGAATATTTGATAGAGTCCTAACCTCAACATCTGAGGAAAGGGATTTAGGGGTGATTATTTCTGATGACTTAAAGGTATGCAGACAATGTAATAGAGCAGCAGGAAATGCTAGCAGAATGCTTGGTTGTATAGGGAGAGGTATTAGCAGTAGAAAGAGGGAAGTGCTCATGCCATTGTACAGAACACTGGTGAGACACAGTACTGGAGACCGTATCTTAAGAAGGATATTGATACCTTAGAGTAGGTTCAGAGAAGGGCTACTAAACTGGTTCATGGATTGCGGGATAAAACTTACCAGGAAAGGTTAAAGGATCTTAACATGTATAGCTTGGAGGAAAGACGAGACAGGGGGGATATGATAGAAACATTTAAATATATAAAGGGAATAAACACAGTAAAGGAGGAGACTATATTTAAAAGAAGAAAAACTACCACAACAAGAGGACATAGTCTTAAATTAGAGGGACAAAGGTTTAAAAATAATATCAGGAAGTATTACTTTACTGAGAGGGTAGTGGATGCATGGAATAGCCTTCCAGCTGAAGTGGTAGAGGTTAACACAGTAAAGGAGTTTAAGCATGCGTGGGATAGGCATAAGGCTATCCTAACTATAAGATAAGGCTAGGGACTAATGAAAGTATTTAGAAAATTGGGCAGACTAGATGGGCCAAATGGTTCTTATCTGCCGTCACATTCTATGTTTCTATCTCCGGTACCTAGGGCTGACATAGGTGTGATGACTTGAACAGACCATTCCCCTGTATTGCTGACTGTATCCTTCCCCCCATGCAGACCATGGTCCACTCATTGGCGGCTTAATAAAACACTCCTTTCTGACCCGCTCCTCCTCCAAGACACAACCAACGCCCTAAAATAATACTTTAACGAAAATGTGATGTCTGACGTTCCAGCCCCAATGGCATGGGAGGCCCACAAGTGCACCATAAGGAGATTCTTCATAGCCAGGGGCACAGTCTTGGGGAAAAAAAACTCAGGGAAGCAAAAATTTGAGAGCTCACAGATTAAATCCAAGAATTGGAAATGGTACATAAGACCAAAACTTGACCACCTTCCAGGAATTGGCCGACCTGAGTTGCAAACTGGCTACGCACCTCCACCACCGCATGCAAAGATCCCTGCTCCATACCAAAGAACATTTCTACGTTAATAGCGATAAATGTGGCAAACTCCTTGACCGCATTCTCAACAAAAAGAGAAATAAGTCATACATAGCCTGCCTACGGGATATCCAAGGCCAAGCACAGTGACTACCTGACAGAATAGCTGACGTGGCACGTGGATACTTTTCTACACTGTATTCAAAAACACCCATACAGGACTCCCCACAGCATGCTCCGGGGATGGAGCCTGTTCACGCTTATTTCAGGGACAATGACTACTCAACACTACCGACCAAGGCAGTTGAAGCATTGGAGGCTTCCTTGACAATGGAAGAACTGGTGGCAGCGGTCAAAGCCATGAAACCAGGCAAGAGCCCAGGACCGGACGGGCTCACGGTACGTTACTATATGCAATTCGCGGGCATACTGTTTCCACATTTTCTGGAGCCATACAACTCGCTTACCCAGGGTCACAGGATCCCCTCCCAGACATTGACAGGTAACATCACGTTGATACCCAAAGAGGGCAAGGACTTAGAGCAGTGGTCTAATTACCAGTCGATCTCCATTCTGAATTGCGACTTGGAGTTCTTCGCGAAAATCTTGGCTACAAGGTTACTACCTTAAATACCTATGCTGGTAAAACCGGATCAAGTGGGCTTTTTCCCTCACCGAGAAGCTAGCGATAATACCACGAGAGTACTGACGCTGATTCATCAAGCCCAGAGGACTGGGGAGGACCTTCTACTGCTTTCCACGGATGCAGAGAAGGCCTTCGACAGAGTGAGCTGGGACTTAATCTTTCGCACTCTTCAGGCACTGGGAACGGGTCCCAAGATGTACACCTGGATCACAGTTTTGTACAATAACTCCACGGCACAGGTCTGTATTAACGGGGCTTTCACCGACACGTTCGAGATCCACAATAGCACCAGACAGGGCTGTCCGCTGTTGCCGCTGCTCTTTGTCCTTGCCCTCGAGCAGTTTCTTCAGGCTGTGAGACGCATCCCTGACATCAAGGGACTCAGAGTGGGACCCACGTCGCATAAGGTGGGCGCATACGCGGATGACGTGATATTTTTCATTTCCTTGCCAGAGACGACCCTTCCCAATATAATGCAGACGTTTGATTGCTATGGCAAGATTTCCCATTTCAGAATCAATTACTCTAGGGATTGATGTATCAACAACTTAAACCGTTCATAAACCACTAACCCCGTTTGAAACCGTAGGTGATGACCTGGACCCACTCCTACAAAATAGAAACCTCCCTCCTCCCGCGTACATGGGCAAATTGGAAACTTGGCTAAAAGAAACTTTCACAGACCAGCAGTGGGGCAAGATGTGTGAACTAGTACATCACTGCCCATTAGCCAGTAAGACGCAAGAGACTGTCTATAAGGTTTTGTCGTTATTGTATAGGACCCTACAAGCTCTAAGGTATTTGAATCCAGCCCTGGAAGACTATTGTTGGCGCTGTCGGGCTAGCACTGGAACATTCCCACACATTTGATGGGAATGCCCTATGGTAACACCTTTTTGGCAGGCAATAGGTGAAATCTTAAACAAATTCTCTGACAACCCGCCCCCTTTCCGACCGGCCTCCCACCTCTTATATCACACCACCACGCCAACAACAATGTACCAGAAATCCCTGACGGTTAGAATACTGAACACCGCCAAACAAGTGCTGCCTTTGTTCTGGAAAAAAGACATGCCCCCTCGCTTGACAGTGTGGTTTGATAAGATGGAGGACCTCCGATGACTTGAGGTACTGACGTTTGTGGCACAAGACCGCTCTCAGACTTATAGGGATATTTGGACACACTGGCTGACGGTCGTTTACCAAGCTGATTTCCAGAGACTGCTGATGTATGGACATTGGACAGGACCGTGGGGGGGACTGGGTACCTTCCGTTGACGGATGCTCCTAGTGCTTCCTGAGGGCTCCAAGCACTCCCCTTGACACCAAAACCACCGCAGACCCCACGAACTGCCGCAGCATGGTTGGGGTCTCGCTGTCTTCCTCCTACTCTGGGCCCAAGACCAGGGTCCAGCTTCCAGTAGGTAGATTTCTCTTAATCCAGAGAGCAGGAACAAGCTCTTACTAGAGCTTACTCTGGGGAGTATAGTGATTATAGCAATCCTCGGAGTGTAGGTAGTTCTCCAATCCCCCAAACATGAACTGAAACTTCATGAAGGGTAGAACAAGTCTGTTTAATGTAAGCCAGCATTCACAATTTATACAATTCCTCAGGCCAGAGGCACACCCTCTGGACCTAATGGAACACATGCACACAAAGGACACAAACCAATAAGAACACTGTAACAATGACCGACACTCCCACATGCAGCACACAAGCCCTCCCCTCTGCCTGGGATATAATTAAATCAGCCAATACAATAACCTAATTATCCACAGGCAGAAAAACACACATTTTCCCCAAAGTCTAGAAAACACCCCAAAACATAACATATCCCTACAAGCCCTGATCTGGGTGAGCAACATATCCAAAAATCACCCAGATCAGAGCAGGGGTTCAAAAGTTTTGTGGGAGTCCCTTTTGATCAACCGCACGCATGATTTCATGCCCAAAACAGTTCCAGAGAATTTGGGTGTGCGGCTGGTGTATTTCCAATGTTAAATTCAGTTCAAATAGACTAATGGCAACCGTTTGTGCAAATGTCATTGTTAAAGTGCAGTTCGAATTGTCGAACGGCATTCGACTACAGTCGAAGAGTTGAAGTTCAGAGAAGATAAAGTTTCAACGGTGTTCGTGCCGTCGCGTGTCCGATTTGAGTTCCATGAACTCGACGACAAAACACAGCTGAACTCGTTCGACTGAATTAAAATGGCCGCCGCCACGTGGTCAAATGGCGGCTACTTCGGTTGTATCCGAAGTGCCCCTTAAAAGGTGTAGAACTGTTCCAATATGATTTAAAGGGGCAGACCCAGTGTCTTAAAACCCCATAAGCCCAAATAGTGCTTTTAAAAGGCCATATATCTCAGGGGCCATAGTCACAGGGCAAGAGGTATAATCGAGTTCTCGCATACGCCTTTTCTTGTTGTTGGGACAAGATTGGTGATAGTATACATCTCAGCACTGCAAAAATAAAAATTTACACACAAAAAAAAAGAAAGGACAGGAAAGGGGTTTATAATGCAGTTATCTGATACAGTAAAATACCAACCTGATTCTTAACTGCAGAGGGTAATTTGTTTTACTCTTTAATATGCTTTATTTTTATTGATGATGCATATTTAAAAATAAATGACCAAAGAGAGAATACATTTATTTAAAGGCAAATGTCCTTAAATGTTTTAAAGGAAGGTGGACAGAAAATAGAGAGATTTCCAAATTTTAAATCTGGCAGAATGTAACCTTGGTTGGTTAGAACATCAAATTGT